ACAAACTATCGGCCCATTTAAAAGGTTTAATTGTATAATTGGCACTAATGGATCAGGTAAATTGGTAATTAAGCTAATTTGCTTGACTAATCTTATAAAACCGTTAGCTACTGTATATTGCTAGCGCAAAATTAATAAACTTATTAGTAGATTTGCTAAATAATCGACATTATTTAGATGGTTAGCGTGCTACACACGGTTTTGAAGAAATATGTCCAATATATTTACTTAGATGGTGTCATTATATGTCTATTGTATTTTACGTCTCTTACATTATTATTTTGTATAGATTTTGGCTAATCTAATGCTATTAAGGTTCTTGAATGGGAAAGACGGCGAAGAAATTAATAATATTAAAGGGGTCATATGATGCGATTTAAATTTTTCCTTTCTCTTTGGAGTGTTACAAGCTCTTGGTGCATAAAGAAGATCTGTACAGTTGCAAAGACTAAAGTCTCAAATCCAAAGAGATATTCTTTATAAAAGTTAAGAGTCAGCCACACCCTCCTAAAACGGCTCGTTCTAACACGCCCCCACATGTCTACGTCACGATGTGGGAAGATTTGCATAATGCCGCCCAAATGTTCACACAAAGAAAGAAGGCGTAACTTTTATTCTCACTGTAGTATTGGGGCCACCACCATGTAGTGAAGGCACTGTGTGATTCATTGTGAAAGCGAAACTACTTTGTTTGGTCTTCCAAAAGAGGACGATATCGTCATGCCTGGAGCTGATCCGTGCTGGTTGCTGAGGAAATACTTCAACTTTGCGTTGTGGATCGCCGGGTCTGCTTTCACCGTGGACGAAGCGGAGTCCAGCCCGTGGTCGTCACATGTGGTTGCAGCACTCATCACATTATGGTAAGGGACGTAACATTTCCGTCACACGCTTGAAGAATTCGGCCAATCACAACGCACTGGATAGCTGGCCAATCAGAGCACACCTCACTTTTTCAGACCGATGAGCGTTGTAAAAATCTATGCGTTTCAGAAAGGCGGGGCATAGAGGAGAAACAATAATAACATTTTTGTGTAATAGCAGCAAAAACATGGTGCATGTGGATGTTTTGCATGTTAAAAATGTTTAGAAGGCATCATCAGTATTGATTAGTTTTACTGATTGTTTTTTCTCCTCTCAAGGCAAATCTAATGTCATGGATGCTCTTGGATTTGTGATGGGAGAGAGCTGTAAATCTTCGTGTCAAACACACCAGAGATCTCATCCACGGTGCCCACATTGGCAAACCCGTGTCCACCTTCGCCAGCGTGAGCATGGTATACTGTGGAGACAATAATGAAGAAATGATCTTCAGCTGACACATTTCAGGTGAGTGTGATTGAGCTCAGGCTAAAATATATGATAGAACAAGTTTGATTGTTTTCTGTTGGTATGATTTTCTTTTTACAGGAGTATCGTGTGAACGTTAACAGGTCACTTTGGCGAAGTACACTGGAGAGCTGGAGAAGATCGGCGTTGTGCTGAAAGCGAAGAATTGTTTGGTGTATCAGGTGCTTCCGTGGCCAACAAACGCTGTAGCATTTGGTTATCGGCCTTTATGATCATTTATAATGTTAATTTTTATTCTTATACTGATCATCAGGGTGCTTTGGTGTCAATTGCCATGATGAATGTCAAAGAACGAACAAAGATGTTTGAACGAATCAGCAACTCCAGAGAGCTGAGTGCCGAGTATGATGTCAAGCTGGCGACACTGCAGAAAGCCAAAGAGGACACCCAGTTCCACTTTAACAAGAAGAAAGCAGCTACAGCTGAGAAGAAACAAGTCTTCAAAGATAAGACTGAGGTATTAAATTAAAGACCTGTCAGATGTCAAAATATTTACATCCTCTTGACAATGTATTTGTCTCGATCTTGTCAGGCGGAAAAATATCAGGCGCTGGTGGACGAACTCAAAGAAAGCAAACTCCAGCTGACCCTCTTACAGCTCTTCCACAATGAGAAAAAGATAGACACGCAGTCAGAATCACTGAGGGACATGCAGGACGCCGCAGTGCAGCAGAAGAACAGCCTGGACATCTGTGAACAAACTGTGAAGGCTCAGAAGAAAGGACATGGGCGGTTGAACAGAACTTCAGCAGCTGGAGGAAGAGATCAGGTGAGTCACCGGCAATGCATTGACTTCCGATGTCTTTGAAACCAGAATACATAAAATGCCGATTTAAGTTATTTTTTAAAAAGGTATACATTCATATATTTTTTGAATTATGTATGTCTATATTATTTCTATAAAAAATATTTAAATGTAATTATAAAATATTTCTTATATTAATCCCTTCCAGATCTCAGGAGTAGATTCTCAATCAGCAGAGGCCTCAGTACATCAAAGCTAAAGTGAACACCTCCCATCATGAGCAAAAAGGGGAGGAGGCACGCAGATCGCTTCAGAAGAACCAAAGTCAGCAGGCCAAGAAGGAGCAGGAGCTGCAGGAGCTAAAGAGCGAGGTGGCTGAGCTGGAGAGGGCCTGGAAGGCCTCTGAGAGACAGATGGAGGAGGAGGAGGAGGAGGCTCAAAGAGGAGCTGGAGTGCAGCTACAGTAGAGCCAGGTTAAAATTAGTCTTTTGCAAACACGGTCTCCCTGCAAAGACAACATAATTGCAGTGGAAAATAATAATCACTGAAATAAAGTAGAGTGGGACTGAATTTTATCTATTGGGGTTGTATTGAATAGAGAAAAGTGACATTACTGGTTAATATATATTTTTTCTCACTGACAGGGCATTGATTGTTTCAGCAGAGTAGAAACTGTTTTAATTCGAAATTTTAGGGTCATAGTTGGGGCCGATTTTGAATATGTTGACTAAAACATTTCGATATTTTACATATATGTTACACACTATTTGTCTTGATGCAGATGGAGCGGTATAAGGAACTCCAAGAGCTGGCCAGGAAAAAAGGGAGCTGTTCTAAACCAAACCGCAGAGAAGCTGCATTGGGAGGTAAAAGTGACGTGACAATGAGTGACGTATACACGCGAGAGATCACTTCCGGCACTTGCGTAAACTACGCCAGAGCGCGTACACACCTCACGCACCGGATGCCGTGCGCGCGCTCAAAGACAGTTGGACATAGTGGTGTATTAGAGGTAAAAAATGATATAAATACTGTTCGGTTTCTCGCACAAACTGATCGTTTCGTGTCTTAGGACATCAATGTGTCGTCACGAGCCACAGGGTTTAATTTGGATTTGTCTGTGCATATTTTTTTTTACTCGCATAGATTTTGTTACCATTGCCATGCATTATACGACTGATAGACTGCAACGGCTGGAGTTAAAAATCTTCATTTGTGTTCACCTACTTTGTGTTCATAATCTTCACCTACATCTTGGATGCCCTGGGGGTAAGCAGATAAACATCAAATTTTAATTTTTGGGTGAACTATCACTTTAAGTGTACTCAAACTTCACTGCAGCTGGACTCAGAGTCTCAGAGCATCAGCACTGGACATTTATGAACGTGAGGCGCAGATGGTGTTTGATTATTCAACAATAGACAGTGGCCTTAAGGTGAAAACATGGCATTAAAACATTGTCACTCACAGCAGTCATTCTTTTGTGGGAGTGTTGTTTTTGATTTTATTATGTGCGTGTGTAGGCCCTCACTGAAGAGAGTGAAGTGGAAGCTGAGTTGGAGAAGCTCAAAGAGGGCGTCTCCTCTCTAGAGTCCATGATCATGATGTCCAGAGCTCCCAACCTGAAAGCTCTAGAAAAGATGAGAGAGGTGAAGGACAGCTTTCGGGAAGTAATGGATGGTACGGGACAAATATATACACGTTTTTATATCGGTGTAGACTACTACTAAAATTGAAGACTGAAATTGGTTCTCTTACACTAAGGTCTGTCCTGTGATATATGGTTTGGCACAACTGTGCTCAGATTCAGATTTAAAAAAAAAGCTATTTTATTCTCGCATTGTAACCACAATTCTCCCCCATTTAGCATTTGTTTTAAAATAATAATAATATATTTGGGAAGTGTAAAGATTTTGGTTTAGTGTTAATAAACAAGTAACAATTTCTGTTAACTAGAATAACCCTGATTTCAGCTCAAGTTTGTTGCTGACATGACAAACACTGATCATGTTTTTGTGTTTTTACTCCTTAATAATCGTTAACCCTCTATGGATCAGCATTTGTGCATACAAACAAAGTCTGATACATGTCTTTTAGGCCATTCTCAGGGCTGAGAATCCAATTGAGCCCTGCTTGGATGGCATCAACTATAACTGTGTGGCTCCTGGGAAATGATTCATGGCCATGGACAACCTGTCAGGAGGAGAGAAGGCCATTGCTGCTCTCGCTTTGGTCTTTGCCATTCACAGGTGAACAACCGCTTGAAGGGTTACTTCACCCAAAAATTAAAATTGGCTTGTGTTTTACTCACCCTCGAAACATACTAGGTGTATGACTTTGTTCTTTCAGATGAATCCAGTCGGAGTTATATTAAAAATGGTCCTGGCTATTCCAAGCTTTATCATTGCAGTCAGCGGGAGTTGCAGTTGAACAGTCCACAAGTCGTCAAATAAAGCGCGCGCATCCATAATAAAACGTCCCTCACACTGCTCCGGGGGGTGAATAAAGGCCTTCTGTAGTGAATCCATGCGTTTTTAAAAGAAAAATATCCAAATTTCAAACACTTTTCTCTTACTTCCAGTATCTGTCAAAAGTTTTGAGTCTAGGTGGTCTATTAGCTTTGAGGTGATTTATATGGCACTGAACTCATGAAATATTTTTGGATATTAACCCTTTGACGCGTACAATTACAGCCTACATCTAGGCTGGTTCCTGGAGTGTACCATCACACCGGTGTGATTTGAATGTTCAGCGTGTACCCCATACCCACTCAATTAAGAGAACGCCACAGACAGAGAGAAGGACAAATGATGGGTTGATGGCAGATAGTGAAGGATAAAATGTTCATTGTTAAAGAAAAAACAGTTGAAAGTGTCTAAAAGATTGAATGTTGAACTGTTAAATTGAACCGCCTAAAGATTTAATCATTTAACAGGTTTGAGCTGGGTTTTTTTTTAACTTTATTTTGTATTGATATTTGAATGTTTAAGAGGTTGTTGTGTGATGCAACTTTAAAAGTGTTTTATGTGTTATTGTTAAATGCCAGTTTGCATTTGTTCAACGTGGAAAGTAATTTGAAAAAATTTTTATTGTTTGCATTTGTGAAGAGTTTTGTCATTCTTTATTAGTAGTTGTGCAAACAACTGTCTCTCTGTCACAAGGGTGGGGTTTCAGCAAAACATCCGCCTCTGTTATTCTATTCTCTCGTTGTCCCTGCTTCTCTTCTCATCTCCTCAAATATAAAGCTTTGCTTTCCTTAGCAACTCCAATGGCATCTTACACAGTGGTCATTGTCCCTCTCAGGAGCAGTCCTAACAGTCTGGATGCATTGCAGTTCTTCCTCTGGGTTAGTTTGCTTTTTCTTGTATGTTTTCTTATTTGTAATGTTTTTTCTATGTATGCTTTTAGATGAAGTGATTCAAATATACTGTAACTGAAGTGACTATAGTATTATTAGATGAACTAAACGCATTTACATTGTTTAGAATAGGTGACAAGCATACATTCAGTCATGTAATGTATGTACTGCAGTTTTCATGGTATATTAAGTTGGTAATCTGTCATTTTAAAACTAGATGCAAATTTGCATCAGTATTTCTTTCAAACCAACAATCCTCATATTCCCAGATGTTAACTATCACAGTTCATCATGACATTCCTGTCCAGCTCTGAGGGGAATATTTAAAGTTCACAGCTACTTAACACACACATTGTGATCTATTTTCATTTTGTTTACTCTGCACAAAGCAATTGTGAGAACTTTTTTTTGTTTTTGTCTTTTTGAAGCAACTATGGAAACGAACGCTAATATTGTCGCTGACAATCATGCAAAAATACAACTCCAAATTGATTTTTTTGTAACATTTTAAAATGTAAGAGCATGCATTTTATTTGCAGGTGAAGAAGATGAAGGACTTAGAGAGGGAAAAGGACTTTTTGTGGATTGGATTGCAGGCTTTAGAGCAGGTGCGAGAGAAGTTATGCTCCAACCTAGAAGACAACATGGAAGTGCAAGACCAATTCAAGAAAGGAGAGATGAGAAAAGTGAGGTTTTTTTTGTATCAACATGTTTATACCTCCTTGTGTTTAATATATTTTCTATTCATCAGGTGTTTCCAGACCCCCCCACCCTACTGTTGGCTCAGATTCACAGAGTGAACAGGACCTTGAGGAATCTACTGTGTGACTCTAGGAATCCCACTGATCCTGCAATAGAAGGTCATTCTCTTAACAATGTGCATCAAATTCCTGTAAAAGCATTTAGTTAACTCTTCATTGTCACTTTTATGTGCCAGAACTATTGAGTTCAATGTATTGAAAGCAGTTTACCTTTTTGTTAGGTACTGAAGGACACCAGCCCTCTCCTACCTGTTCAGAAGAAAGTGCTTGTTTTTGATCAGCTGTTTGTTTTGAAGTTCTGTACTGCATTTTCTTGTATTTTGTGCTTGCAGAATGTATTCGGAGTGGATTGAAGTCATTTTCTGTGTGAAAAATTTCCTACTTGATTAGATTTCCAAAACATATGGCATACAACTCGTACACTGCTTTGAATGTTTTATTCAAGAATTCAATGCACTCAACTCAACCTTCCATTTCCATTGACCTTCCAGGAATGAATGTACTGAAGGTATATTAACTGCCGTCTGCCATTTAGTTTCTGCTACTATTGGATTAAAAATGCGAAACACTTATTTTTGCAATGATAACTTGATACATGTGTAAGGTAAACAGGTCAATAATAATTTAGCTCAAAGGGAATCATTTAAGATTTTAAAGGGAACTCCACCATTGATATGCAAGGGAATTAGGACAGAATCACTGTTTTACGGCGGATCACTGAGACGGCCTGCGATTCAGTGAACGAGCCGTATGACAGCAATTCTGCAATGGATATCAATATCCAAAATATAGTGAAAACACTATTAATTAGCATAGTAACAAGATCGGCAGTTTAAGACATTAACTTGTGATGAAATGAGATCATGTGACAACACTAGCATTTTTTCTTTTTATACTTCACATACACTGGCTGCCAAAAGTTTGCAGTAATATTTTAGGTTAATTTTAAAAGGCTTAAAATAAAGGAATTAATATCGTTCAATAGGGTGTACTGAATTCATCAAAAGTGACCGCAAAAACATTTGTAACAAAAGAATAAATAAAAATTCCAATAATTGCTGTTCTTAAGAAATTTGTTCATTAAATAATCCTGGAAAAATAAATCACGGTTTCCACAAAATATTAAGCAGTAAAAACTGTTTTCAACATTGACAATGATAAGAAACATTATTAATATTCGAGCACCACCAATAATAATAAAGTACCAAATCAGCATATAAGAATGAATTCTGAATGATCATGTGACACTAAAGACTGGATTAATGGCTGCTGAAAATTCATTCACAGGAATAAAATTACATTTTAAAATATATTTAAATAGAAAAGTGATTTTAAATTGTAATATTTCACAATAATTTCTGTATGATTACTTTTGACTACATTAATGCACCCTCGAATTAAAAATTTGAATTCTAAACATTTGGTCAGTCAAGTCAAGTCAAGTCACCTTTATTTATATAGCGCTTTTAACAATACAGATTGTGTCAAAGCAACTGAACAGCATTAATTAGGAAAATATATGTATATATAGTGTATATATATATATATATTTGACCATTTTTGTATGTATTAATACATATTTAAATCGGTAGTTTTTTTTTCGCATTTGGAATTGATGAGCAAAAAAAATAAAAAATAATGTAAAAAGTATTCAATTCGAAAGCTATCAGTGAAAGTAGCAGTACAGAACTATTTTTGTTTAGAGCCTTAATATGCATAGAACGAAACATTCCACAGTACAGTGTCAAGCGAGCTGAACTAATCTACAGTACATTAATTGGGTTCGCGCTCACATATTAGATACTGTTCTATTGCTCATTCAGCAGTTATTACATATCGAGTTATCCAAGTGAACAGCGATTATGGGAAGTAAGAGAAAACTAAGTTCTCGCAGCGCTCAGGTGTATAACTTCCATCAAAGTACACCCCACAACAACCAGCACTGACGCGGAGGACCACCGTCAGCTCTTTAATGCTGGTGAGGGAAATGAAAGAGGATGAGGAAGGAGAGTTTTGAGAAGCAGGTGGAGGACCAGGCCACATTCAGTGGTCTTGAAGTCCTCTCTCCTGCAAATCAGCAGCAGGTTCAAACCCCTCCATCCGAAGTCCACCAAAGTCCTGTCAGTCCAGCTTCAACTGACAACAACGAAGTGGACATGACAGTTGATGGTGCGTTTACTGCCATAACCCCAAACATTTACATACACTGCTGTCAGTGTTTGAAATTTCATGTCAACTACAATTATTTTTCTTTTAACAGACTACATTTTGAGCCGGTATTAGGTCGGTAGATTGCTCAGTGAGTGAAGATACGACGCTGTCTATGAAGGGAGACACTTGGAGGATGGCTTTGGGGTATCATTATTATTTTCCTTACTATATTTAGCTTGCAAATTGTTAAATTTCCCTTATACATAAATACTAATCGTTTTATTATAATAATAATACTAATAATAATCTCCTCACTCCAGTTATTTTGTCATTATGTCCATTATTTTGGCCTAGTGTACTTGACATGTTTAAAATGTGATTGTGATTGTTTTGTTCATCAGGTGGCAGTGAAATTTGCCAGAAAGCCAAAGAAAATGGAATACATCCACATTGTAAGTAAATATATCAACATTCAGTTTTAAATGTAAAACATGTAAACAGTTTGTCCAGGACTGGACTAACTCTTGTTTGGGAAAGCACCTCCATCTAACCATGATCTTTTAAATGATCTTTCTTCTAGCCTGGTCATTCCGCACCCCTTCCCTTAGAGGTCGCCTTGTTACTTCTTGCTAATAAGGTTCCCGACGTTCCAGAGATCATTCGTCTGCTGGACTGGCAGGACCAGCTTGACCACTACATTATGGTCCTGGAACGCCCCTCACCCTGTGAAGATCTGGTGGACATTTTGGAGCATCATGGAAAAACTCTCAGTAAGGACATGGCACAGTTTGTCATGCTGCAGGCAACACGCGCCGCTCAAATGCGCTGTCGCCATGGAGTGTTTCACTGAGACATCAAGCTGGACAATCTGCTGATAAACCCAGAAACACTTGAAGTCAAGCTGATCGACTTCGGGTGTGGGGATCTGCTAAGAGAATGTGGATATGATAGATTCTGTGGTATGTATTATGCATCATACCTGTAGTTTAAGATTCTAGTGATGAGTTAAACCATAATACAGTGTTAGAGAGGGAAGTGATAGTCAGGAGAGAAAGAGCAGGAAGAGTAGTTTTGACACGAAAGGCCAGCTCAGGTCAGGCACAGCACATGCAGGACCAAACTACTGCACCAGAACATGAGAGAAGCACTGATGGTAAATCAATCAAATCTACAGCTCTGTGCATCAAGAACTCTACAGGATTTTCACCTAAATATGGGTTTCCATAATAAGGACTTTATTAAGGGAAATTAGAATGATGTGTCATAAGTAAAAATTCACACCATCACACATTATATCCAAATCCAATTGAAGTTCGATTAAGACTGTGAACTGATTCCCCCCTTTAAATACCGATGAAACCAAGTGGACAATTGTTGCCACCAGCCGGAAGAGAAAAAGGAGTTCACACAGTGCTCAGGTGTACAACCTCTATGAAAGTACATCTTCAACATCTAGCAGCAGCGCAGCAGAGTACCTTCAGTCCACTAGTGATGATGAGGAAGATGAGGGGCCGGAAAGAAAGAAGAAGAGGATGGATAGTGTTGTATTTCTTTGACCGGAAAGGCAGCCCAGGTCAAGGTCAGGCTCAGCAGGTGCAGGAGCAGGCTGATGTCCCGTTATACAGAAGTCCCGTTATAAAGGTAAATCAAATACCCTTGTTGAGAATAAGCCTAACCCTAATCAAAAATGCCCCTAACTGAAGAATCATTTGATATGTCCCGCTTCAGAGCAAAGTCTTCTGCAGGACATTAACTGTCCTGTAGCAGATGGTGGTCGTCAGGAGCCTCCTTCCAGTCAACCTGAAAATCAGCAGAACATTTTGAGCCGGTATAAAGTTGGCTGAATGCTCTGTGAAGGAGGATTCGACACCGTCTATGAAGGGAAGCGCTTGGAGAACGGCCTTGAGGTATTGTGATTTTACAGCGTATATTTAGCTAGCAAATTGCTTTATCTCACTCTGTCCATTTCAAGTCCTCTTGGTTTATTTTATGTCCACTATTTAGTGAACTTGACATGTTTAAAATGAAATTGTAACCCTTTTTTTCTTGTTGGAACAGGTGGCAATAAAATTTGCCAGGAAGACGAGGAACATGGTTTGCATCAACATTGTAAGTAGTAACAGTTTCACAGTTTAAACAATTTGTCCAAGACTGGACTGAATCCATATTTAGTATAACTCTTCCATCTAACAATTCTAAAAATTATATTTCATCTAGCCTGGTTATCCTACACCTCTTCCATTGGAGGTCGGCCTGTTACTTCTGGTTAATAAAGATCCTAAAGTACCTCAGACCATCGAGCTGCTGGATTGGCAGGACCAGCCTGACCGATACATCATGGTCCTGGAACGTCCCTCACCTTGTGAATATCTGTTTGATTATGTTGAGCCATGTGGTGGCACCCTCAGTGAGGATGTAGCACGGCTGGTCATGTGGCAGACAACATACGCTGCATACATGTGCTATCAGCGTGGAGTGTTTCACATCAAGCTGGACAACCTCTTGATCAGTCCCAAAACCCTTGAAGTCAAGCTGATCGACTTCGGTTGTGGGGATCTGCTGAGGAAAACTGGTTATGACATCTTCTGGGGTATGTATTATTCATCAAATGTGAAGTTTAGGATTCTAGTGACAACTTGAAGCATATTCCACTGTACTGAAGCTCGCTTATCAAATAAAATGTCTTTCCTTCAGGCATAGCAGAGTATTTCCCCCCTGAGTATGACATGGAGGGCAGGTACCACAGGAAACCTGCTACTGTATGGTCACTGGGAGTGCTCCTGTTCGTAATGGTGTGTGGACGCTATCCCAAAAGTAAGGACTTGCTGGAGATAGGTTTGGGCAAATGGTTTGAGCCTGGCTTGTCAGATGGTAACATGGCATTCATCAGAATAAAAAAGACCAATTGTATTTCTAAATCATACAAAACATCTAAAAAAAGTAACATCTGAGCCAAGTGTTGGAATTTTCCCTGAATTTCTGAACTTATAACTTAGAACAGTCAAATCTTTTCATCTTATTTCAAAGACAGCAGGTGCAAAATGAAAGATTATAACCTGACTCTCCCATCTCCCCCTTCCTGCAGATTGCTGCCATCTGATTTGGTACAATCTTCCTTCAGTTGACGTCAGTGGCCATCCCTCCACACCTTAGCATTTTTTGGAGCTGGCAAGCCTTGGTAGCACCTAGACCAGGGTTGTCCAAACTCGGTCCTGGAGGGCCGGTGTCCTGCAGAGTTTAGCTCCAACTTGCCTCAACACACCTGACTGGAAGTTTCTATGCCAAGTAAGAGCTTGATTAGCTGGTTCAGGTGTGTTTGGAGCTAAACTTTGCAGGACATCGGCCCTCCAGGACCGAGTTTGGACAGCCCTGACCTAGACAGTCCAAAAAACTCCCTGTCACCTGTAACCTGTCATCGTGGTCCCAGAATTTCCTCTCATGGCCGCCCAAGAGGTTCATGTGAAAGCTTGTTCCTGCCACAGCCAGCCTAGAGATTCCTGTCTCGGCCTCTCCATTCCTCAGCTTAGCATCTGACAGACTGACATCAGTGGCCTTTACAAGCCTTAGCATCTTGCAAAGCTCCCAAGCCTTGGTAGTCTGGCGCCTTGGCTTGAGGCAGTATCATAACAGCATACTTTAACAATGTAGTTATTGTACAGTTGGTTCAATAGTTTCTATAAATATGGTTATATATATAATCGATACATAAAAAACAATTGTGCCATGAGTACAAGTGATTTTTATATAGCACAACAACATAGTTTAAAAGCATAGTTTATTTATATTATATCACTACAGCATACAGTATTTATTTATTTAACATTACGGCATACAGTATGTACAATTTGTACCATTTAAAATAATATCACTCAGAAATATGGCACAATTCATGTATTTATTTATTTTATTGATTGTATTTAATGTGTTGAATAAAATTGAAAATTGTTGCATGAGAGGTTGTCATAGTTCATATAATGTTCCTGATTTATCAGATGAAATATGTAATATATATTAAATGTAATATAATTTAAATAATCGAGGAAATTTGATTAGATTTTTTTGTTGTGGTAATTTACTTAGTCCTCTTAGTGGGCGTGGCCACCAGGTGGAACGTAAGAGACTCAAAAATACACAATAGTAAGTGTTCCATTCATAAATTTAATTTTATGTTCTTTTTATAAGATATTTTGGAGTGTGTCAAGATTAATATAATTTATTCAAAAGCTTTTGTGACTGGCTTACTGGCTCGAGGCTTTTATTTTGAAGAGTAGTTGCATTGTGTTCGTCTTGGCGCTGAGTTCAAGCGTCGGTTACAGTGTACAGTGCGCGTTCAGATTCAGAATGAAATCAGACTGATTGTAGGAGAATCATGTTGAGGAGAGCGAGCTGCGGGAAGAGCAGCTCGGTGGGGTTTGATGAATTCGGGTTTGCTCTCGGCAAGAAAAGAGACAGGAAGCTCCAACACAGATGTCACGACTACAGGTAGATGTTTACTAATATACTAACACTAAGAGTAGTTTAGAATTCAGTTCGTTTTCATAACTCGAGATATAATACTTCGTAAATAAGTTCACATGAATGAACGCTGTAAATTATGTTGGGATGCGCACTTGGCAAGTAACACGTTAGCTGTGTTTCCCTCAGTTATCCTCAGCCTAATCCGGTTAAAGTGAAGGAACTGTGTGAATTCCTCAGTTACTGGAATGGAGCCAGTTTTATCTGCAGAAATCAGGTGTGTGCATGTTTCTCTATATAGCTCTGTGTTACATTTGCCATTTGTCAGAATTGCGAATCCATTTAAATTCACAGAAATGTATAAATCAGTTATAACTGTGTAATCTTTAATCACTTGTCTTTAGAGAAATGCATCTACTATATTCTTTATAGAAGAATTAATGATTTATAGCAAAACTTATGTTGGGCACATTACATTCTTCTGTTGAATTTATTAAATGAACTTCCTGTCATTCTAAACCCAGTTTCAACTCATCAAAACATCGAGACAAATTTTAAATTATGAATTTACCCCACACTGCATTTAAAATGGTTTGCATAATGTTTGAAAGCATTTAGTAATTTTTATCAGTTTCATTTTTCTCAATTTCAGATCGAGAAGTTTATTCGTATTGGTATTCCTCCAGCAATACGTGGACGAGTTTGGAAATGCCTCCTAAATATGGACAGTATCAGAGCTGCCAGCTCTTTTGATTATGAGGTGCAACCCCGTCAGAATATATTTGTATTATTATGCAAAATTGAAGTGTGATGCTTTGAGAGACATTTGCCTGGTTTTTGACCCATTTTGATTGTTTACTTCAGGCATGTCAGGCTGAGATCCGTAAACCTCTGGTTGATCTTGGAGTCAGTGAGTACAGTATCATCCCTACTATAGACTCTCTAGTGGACACAGAGAATGAGATCAGCAGCGGACAGGCTTCGGATCTCCTCAGCGCTGACCTAACGCTCTTCAAACAGATCGCCCTCGACCTGCGTGAGTTGTGCCTTTGGATGACCACTGATGTTGCATGATGTTTTCCATACATTCGTTTGAACTCTTTTGTTGACATTAATTTGAATGTTCTTATATGAATTAATTAAAAGAATGCTATTTAATAATGTTTTTGAGTCTTTTAGGTTCACCACCGCTGCATTTATTTGATCAAAAATACAGTAAAATCAGTAATATTGTGACTTATTATTGAAATTTTAAATAACTGTAAAATAACTTCTATTTTAATATATTTTAAAGTGTAATTTATTCCTCTGATGGCAAAGCTGAATTTTCAGCAGCCAGTAATCCAGTCTTCAGTCACATAAAATCATTGCTCCATTATTATAAATTTTTGGTACTCTGTTATTAATGAGTTTTGTTATTATCAATATAAAAAAGCAGTTTTTGCTTATTACCATTCTTTAATTTTTTTTAGGATTTTTGATGAAAAGAAGGTACAGAAGTACTATATAGATAGTATATATACAGTCAAACCAAAATGTATTCAGACACCTTCAACGTTTCACACGTTATCACAGTTTATTCGCTATAGTTTAGAAAATGGTAATAAAATATGACAAGAACTGTGTCAGAACAAAATCATCTTGATAATGTCAGATAACACTTAAGCAAAACATTTGAATAATTTTTGGTCCCAAATATTTATCAATTTGACTGGTAGTCCACTGTATGAAGAATTTTTGGGTATAATATGTCACGGTTTACTTTATTTTTTCTATCCTCATTTACATAAATGAACTGTAGTGTCCTACTCCCTCCCACTAGTAAAAAAAAGAAAAATTATATCTGGTGTCTGAATAATTTTTGGTTTTACTGTATGCAGTACATTTTGGCAAGTAATTTATAAAATGTTAATAATTAAAATGTTTGTATATATTTTTTTATGTTTTTGTTTTTCTGCTAAAAACTGTGGTTGACTGCCTCATTTTTGAAAGAATGGGACTTTCAGGAGGAAGCAGTAATTTGGAACAGATGGCAGTGTTTTCGTTTGAACTTGGCCAACATTCTGAAAACCACATAGGGGCGCTGCATAAACACTTTCCTTTTACACTTAAAGGGATAGTTCACCCAAAAATGAAAATTCTGTCATCATTTACTCACTCTTATGTTGTTCCAAACCTGTATGAGTTGCTCAACTCAAAAGAAGATATTTTGAAGATTGTTGGTAATCAAACAGTTGGTGGTTGCCATTGACTTCCATAGTATTTTTTTTTTTCCTACTATGGAAGTCAATGGCTACCACCAACTGTTTGATTACCAACAATCTTCAAAATATCTTCTTTTGTGTTCAGCATAAGAAAGCAACTCATACGGGTTTGGAACGACATGAGGGTAAGTAAATGATGACAGAATTGTCATTTTTGGGTGAACTATCCCTTTAACACATGTACTGTACATTAATGCATATGGCCAACACTTTCACCCATAGTGCACCAAGGCATTGGGAATCAAATCTATATCGTTGGTGTCGCTGGCACCATGCTCAACCTTTTGAGCTACAAAAGCCTGAAATACTTCTGTACAGACTACTTCATGTTATTACTAACCTTAACATTTGCCTTTTTGTGTGTGATTTTTTTTAGAATGTTTTGTATATAGAGTTTGAAATGTTTTGGCAGTTCGGTTGATAGTTCCTTATTTGTCTATATAGGAAGGTCGTTTCCCACCCATCGCACTCTGATGGGGGACCGTCCAGAGGCTATTGAGGGCCAGGCCAAACTTTTCAGAGTTCTTACCGCATTTGCCCGATATAATCCCCAGATTGGATACATACAAGGTAATGAACTGCCTGTACTTCCACAAATGAGGTCACTGGCATTACTGAAATCTTGAACTTGAACTTTGCACCTGTGCTTTTACTGGTCCTGTCAAACATTTTTAAGTTCAGTAAATACTGAGGTTTGGCCTCAAGAGGGCAGTCAAGTGCCATCTTGTTGTTATTGCATGTCATGGTCATAATTTTGTTTTCTTTTTTCTGTGGAGCTAATTTAGTTAGTTTGCCCTTGACATTCTGGCTATAATGGGACTATGTGATGCCTCAAGGTTTGTTTTTCTGCTCAGGGATGTCCTATATAGCTGCTGTGCTCCTGATGATCCTGTCTGAGGAAGAGGCTTTCTGGGCTCTGGTTGCTCTGTTAGAGAAGCCCAAGTATCTCTCAGAGCTCTTTGATTCTTCTGTGAAGAAGTAAGACCTTCGGCTGTGCATAAAATAGATAAATAAACACATATTTTACAAAAGTTTACTCAAGTTACACTGAAAACATCTGTTGACAGAGCTGTTGAAAGATTTTGGAAATATAACACACATCAGCCAAGTTAATATATGTTTTTTGCAAATGACAGTAATTGAAAATAAGCTATGCACATTAGTTGGTTAATCAGCTTTTTATCTATTTTAATAATTTATTTTATTTTCAGGATTCAGCATCAAGCTTTGATTTTTCACCAGCTTCTGAAGCACAGGAAGCCTCTGCTCTTCCAGCACTTGGTGAGAATTATGGTCTAAATTTCTCTCAGTGAAAAACAAATCTCCCTCAATAAATAAAATGTAAAATAAAAAATCGCTCTAAAAATGCTAATGAATATATTATTACATATTATTTATTGATATTTTTTCTGTCTATGAAATACAGATGAAATTAAGCTCTGAAATTTGCCTCTGTTAAA